TATATGAAAATATGCCAGTTTTATAAAGCTGATTTATTAAACTGGGAGCAAGAATAAACAGAACCAATTCTGGAAAGATTATTAGTACTAATTGCTACTGTAAAAATCTCTGTGATAATTCAGACATGAAAAGACTTATTCCATGTCACAACAGATTCACTAATTCATTGTACTACATGAACATCAAGTCAGATAAGGTCCAGAATACGTTATGACCGTAGAAAAGAAATTATTTCAAGTTCTTTCTAAATTGTGATGGATTCTGCAAACCTGCTTTCCATCATCTTTGAAAAAACATTATATACTTATTTTTGACATGGAGGTAAACTGAGTAATAATTCTGCAATTGAAATAATTCTGCAATTGAAAGATTGAATTATATGGTAAATATATATTTTCAAGGTAAAATATCTGTCAATGTGTATCTAATAACTGTGCATTTTATGGCACTTAATATTGTAGTGATGACATCTGCCATAAAAGGTAACAATCTTCAAAAGCCCATCTGTCAGCAAAGTTGCTACTAACTTTGTAAAAAACAGGTAAGTTCAACTCCAATCCAGACATTATGCTCCCATATGACATTTTATATGCAAAATCTTTTTGGCTGTCATTTGTAATCAAAATTTTCCCATAATGTCTGTCCCAGTTAAATAAATCAATTCTTTTTTCTATGTACATTTTGAAAAGTTTCTAAAGATTGATAATGATACGCTAGTATGAACTCACAATTGCACAAGCACTTCATTTGATTAAATACTAAAATAACAATTTGTTTGCACAATTACCTGAATTTGTGCACCACACAATATTACAAAGGTATTACATGGCAGTACACCTACATCTCAAAAAAGATGAGGAAAATATTCTATTCTATTCTGTTCTACTCTACTCTATTCTTTCTGTGCTACATGGCAACAGAGGGATTGTCATTGCAGACCAGTTCCCAGGTGGTCCAGTCTTACTCAGCACCGCCTTCTATTTCAGAGTCAGGAAGGCTTAGTTGCTTGTCTACTTTACAATTCTTACAGAGGTGGTCACTATTACTAGTGAAATGATAGTAGAAATTATGCAAAAGGTAACTTAACAAAGACATTTGCTGGTATTTGAAGAGATTCCTTTTCCTATCTGCTCCAATTCATTTGCAGGGAGTTAAAATTCCATAGTGATGGTTTTGGTGCAAGAACAAAATTAACTGAGGTGTTTTCAACCCTTTTCTATTTCTATAATAAACAGATAACATACAAACTAACTGCTTTCTTCAAAATGATGTTTGTAATGAAATAAAGTGCTGTTCACCACTTCGCTGAAACTGAATCTTGAATCTTTGAAATGATTATAGAGTTTTATGTACCTTTTATGATGACCATGTACCATCATTATTCCTACATCACCTTTGAAAAGTTATCGAACCATGCACAACAATGTCATGCTTTAATAGCCAGTAAAATAATAATAATATAAAAAGACTGGAATTCTATTATGGCCTTGGTTCAATAAAAATAATTTTGTAGCTAATAGAGGACTTTGCAGACAACTAAACCTGCAAAGTGTGTAATCAATACAAACTCCTCAAAGACTGAAATTAACAGAGCTTCTCATGACCTGAAACAATTGCCTCTCTCTTCACTGTCTCGCTTCTTGTATACAATTCTTATGGAGTTACATGCAAAATCTATTGCCATCTTTCACCATAAAGGTGGCATATCTCACTGCGATACACCAGCCTTTACACAGAACTGTGAAAGTTCTCACACAAGAAATGTTCTGCTATCTCCACAGTAGACCAACTTGAAAACCTGCTGTTGACTTTTGGAACGCACAATTTCTATCTAAGAACTGTTCCCTTAGTGTGACTTACTTTGCACACTAGCCACCAGACTTGCAAAAAATTGACCCATTCCCTGTCTTACTTTAGGATGTTTAGAAGAAAGTTAAAATTGCTTGGTATAATTAGGTAGGTCTTCTCATTTGACTTCCTTAAACCCAGTTGCCCTATTTCAGTTGTCATTATAGTTCCTTCCAGCAGCAAGTAGTTATTTGCCTACCTACTTACCACTTCGCTGAATCAAGGCTAGAACCACTTGTGCACAAGGGAAATAGAATATTTAATGAGCTGCAAAGGAATTAACTTAAGTGCTTTACAGTTGTCCCTAATAAAGTAGGCGAAAATCCATGAGGAATAAAGCATTTATAAACTGGACCTTTAAATTCATTTTAGTGATATCCTTTGTGACTTTCCTAAAACTAGGCCATGGAAAATCATCAGTGTTTTGCAACTTCTCACATTAAATTAGATCCATCACATGACTTCTATTTCAGTTCAAGGCTCTCCTGTAGAAAAGCAGTGGGTTAATAACCATGTTATGGTATGTAGTGAGTTTTACAGGGAAAGTGTTACCTGTGTAGTTTGTGACTAGTATGTTACCCTTTTTTCCCATTACAGTTGTTGTGAACTATATGCACTGTCAACTGTAAAATGGGAATATGCAGCAAAAACACGGTACCCCTCCAAGAAGGCATGGAATGACTTGAACCTTATGCATTTTACAGTCTCTGCATGGTGTATATAACTTCACTTAGCAAATGTATGACCGATGTGAAGACATTTATCGATCAATGACCCTATGTCACAGACAACTGCTTTTATTTCAAGGACTTCTGTTATTTTAGGGAGGTAAAAAACATAGTAATTAATTTCTTTCTGAGAGTGAAAATATATGCACCATGAACCTCCTCTGGCTGAGACGGCTGAGACCAAAAATGCACAAAGTTGAAATGGGCGAGTAACCAACCTTGGCGAAATATCGCATCCTTGCTGCATAAAGGCACCCAGGGAAAACCAGAGACTATTAAATATCCCAAATTCATTAGTTGATTCATTAGTTTGCGTTTCTCTTCCATCTTCAAATTCCTCAGTGTGCCACTCGTATGGGCTAAATCTGCTGACCAGGAATAAAACTACACTGACCCCAATGTAGGCAAAAACAATGCACATCCAGATTTCATATGCTAACGGATCAAGAAATGAAAACACTCCTGGCTTGGACTTCTGAGGCTTCTTGATCATTATTGATATCCCCAGGCTCATAAAGGGCTTTGAGAAGTCAATCACCTCTTCTCTCACCAATGTTATAGTTAATGGGGCGATTGCAATATCGGCTTTCTGTAAAGGAAGAAAAAAGCAAATAATAACTAATAAAATGATCACAGCAAAGAATAGTTTAGTTTCCACTGCATTTCACAAATGGAAAATAGGACAGCAGAGACACTAGCAACCTTCGTTTCTCCAAGAACGTCCTATGGAGCATTTCAGAAATTTTTAGTTGATACTCTTCTTACTGAAATACATATAACCTATGGTTGGCGTATTCCAAGCTTCCCCTTTTACACATGCCGTTTTAAAAGTATATAACATTTAAGTGTTGTTAAACTACTTTGCCTTTCACCTGGTCAGAAGGATGAAATATGCACTCACTTCCCCCCAGCTTCATTTGCATTTACAAACATAATTCTATGGTTTAATTTCAAAATTTTTCATGCCAACTCAAGTTACTTATTCTCTATCAAAGGAATCAGATAATTTTCCGCTATTCTACAGAGAAAACTAAACCAAATCCCAATCCTTCCATCAGTCATCTTTAATGGCTTTATTATAAAAATGTTCTTACCCCATAAACAAGTTCTCCAACCATCCCATTCCAGATTTTCGTGTCTGCATCCCTTGCCCCATACTTGCCATCCCCAACAATTGTGAGTTTATATTTGAATCCACAGTGTTTAGCAATTTCTGTAGCTAAGTCCACACAATAGCCCTCATATCGATCATTTCCTTCAAGCATTTCATGATTTTTCTTCATCATGACGTATGGGGACTCCTGCACAGAAAGAACTTGGCTTAGCTACTTGGTAAAGAGACAGATGTATCAGTTGTGCATTTCATAGATTATTATGTTTCTGTTTACATGTGAAAAAAAGAGAGAAGATAACATCTGAACTATACATGCTATGTATGTTAGCTGTTATTAATGTGACATGTCCTTAACACATTTAAAAGCTGCATTCTCCACAGTCATATACAAATAACAATACTTACAGTTACAGTGATTCCCAGCAGTATGTTAATAATGACCATGAATGTTAACAGGAGTTATGCATTCAGAGAAGAGAGAGCAAGTTCCAAAATCAGTTTCTTTCTCTTATACAGTTTGGATGGAAGAAGGCAAAGGTATTTAGTTGCTTTTGTTGTTGTCTTAATACAAGAAAATTCTTTCTTATTTCACAACCACATCCCTCCCTGGGAAAACACTTCAGACTCTCCAGACTACATATTTATTGACTTACTACACATACAATAGGTCTACGCAGTAAATTTCGATCAGCAAAACTGGTGATGAGTCATAACTTGTATTAATGTATATTCTCTTTGCTCAGTTGTTACTGAACTATTCTTGCATCCAGTGAAATTCCTATGCTAGCCTGTGTCTTGTTGAAACTGATAAAGAAGCTATGTAACTTACAGAAAAATGCTTTTCTATGACAGTACATAACATTATTTTCTAGACAACAGAATACAACTTTTAATGTTTTATTTTACACTTCACCAATCCACAGCAGCTACAATTCTGAAACATAAACCCCAGTCTCTTTCCTGTCTGGCAAAACCCATTCTCTAAAACTAATACTATGGTTCTGCCCCTCAGACAAAGTTCTCTCCTTTGAAAGCAGGCTTCCTTTTCATTTCCATTTTCAGGTCTTTCTGGGATGTTCAATGACTGTTTGTCTTCTACAGTACAAAACCACATACTGAATCACATATATCTCCTGAATTTCCAGATTTTATTTATGTATCATAAAGAGTAACAGGTCACAACCTCAAATAATAAAAAGACAGTATATTTAAACTAACATAATGACAAAAAACAAATCACTGTAGGACAGACTGTCTTCTGACAAAATATGAGGTTAATTACCAAAATAGTGGTGACAATAATAGTCTTATTCTCTAGTCCTGAAGATTCATTTCCAAGAGGACCATCAAGAGGATTCACAACCATTTTGTCCACTTCGCTCCAATATCCAATCTAAAGAGAGTTTATAGGATGCACAGACACCAATGATTATGAACTTTCATAGAAAAGGTAAAGCATGTTATTACTAAGCCCTTGATTTATGCTCACAGAGAACTATTTCAGCTGAAGATTTACCAGTGTAAATATTTCTATTTATGTAGCTAAAGACTACAACAAATGGTAACAAAATGGAACTAATTATATTTGTTCCCATTAATTGGTCTAATACAGATATACCATTCTTATTCACATATTAACAGGTTTTAGTATCAACATCACACACCGTAGGATTGAAAGGGTTATGAAATACTCCAGATTAAGGAAGACATGAGACACTGGCTTTTCCTTGTAAGGTTTGGAATTAGAGCAGAAAGATAATCACATTTAAAGAAACATTCTCCATTTGTCATTCGGAAGCATATTTCTCCAATTACTGGCTCATATTTATTAATTCAGATCAGAAAGCAAAAACCTTAATCCACAGAACTGAAAAGAAAATACTCTTACGTAGTACTTACCAGAAATAACAACTTGTATTTGTTTGAAAGAAATAATACATACTTTTAGTCTGTTCTGCAAGACCATTGTGGAATACACCTACGAATAAATAGTATCACAACTCATGCTTTAATTAACCTATAGTGTTTCATTACCTACCTTAACCTGTTGCTTAGCATGGTAAAACCTTTAAACACACTGTAAGACAATTCAAATTACCTTCCGAGGACCAGTACTTTTGAGTTCCATGATGTTTATTGTAAAATTGATTCTCTTTCCATTCTGATCAAATTTTATATTCCCTGTTAGACCTTCCACCTGAACCTATACAGACGAAGATGAAAGTGGTAGAAGAATTAATTTTGTTTCTTTTTAGGAAATGCATTTTATAGTCTAAATGATTATTGGTGTTTTAAAAACATACAGGTTAGACTTTTTGCCACACCCAGTGTATAATCTTAGTGTAAGACACACTCCTGAGGGGTTCATTTCCACATTATTTTTAGCAAGATCCAGGCAGTTTAGAATACTGGAAGGTTCTTTTCAAGCATTTAGAGAATTTCACACATGCACTCATCCCAGCATTCACTCCAAGGAAGATACCTGTTTCAATGCCCTTTCTATTTCTACACCATGACCCCAGGGTACAGCTGGATTTGCAAGACAATCTCCAGCGTTTCCTCTTCTGGAAATCTCAATCCTCTGTTTACGCAAATTACGGAAAGCTTCTGTCATCACTTGAACAGCATCATAGGTCAGGGCAGACGTATACTGAAAAGAAGTGAAACTATATAATTAAAAAACAGCTGCAGATTCACTTCACCATCCAATCCTCGTTAATGCATTAAGCACAGAAACATACTACAAATAAAAAGGACAGTCAGATATACTTGAAATCAGAGGAATTTTTCTTTTATTTGGCAGTCACTACCCTCCAAGGGGCATCTATGCAAATTAATGAAGTGTTCTTCATCAGAACGGTTGGGGGCAGTGCCACTAAGCTGAAGCTGAAGATTTACAGTTGTTTTCAGTATGAATTATATTCTTTTCTCACTACAACTGCATAACAGTTCCGTATGCAGATATGGCTGGAAGTCCATGGAGGTGAAAGAGGAAGTTAGCCTCTAAAAGTAAGAAATTATTTCTCTGATTACACTCTTCATAGAGATGCATTTATATATATACAGATCTCTAGACTGCATCTCCTACCGCATACATATACACAAAACCAAACAACATGTATTTATATAAACATGTGTTTAATTTTTATCTGTTAAACATAAAAACTCTGGGATAGCTATTTTCAATTATACAATACCTTGTCAACACCCTGCAAAAACAGGTTTTAGGCTAAGGTGGCTGGAAGAAGTGGTGCTCCTCAAGCAACAGTATAGGAGAGGAAGAGCCCCATCTCCCTAGTCTGGCAGAATATAAGGAGCTTTACAACTTTTGAGAAATCAGAAAAGACTCCTGCGATCACACGCATCAGAAGCTGAGGCTAAACAGTCAAAAGCAGTTATCTTCAGTGACCGGAAAATTTTACATCTTAACTAACTAACTGAACAGAAACCACTTGTGCATGTACACTAAGGTCTTTGTTGGATGGACTTTATGAGTCCAGAACATTGCAATTATGCCAAATTTAAGGGACATTTTTGGAAATATGGGCCAGAATGTAACTACTTACAGCCTTATGAATGAATGCAATGATCCCTATGAAGGCTATTAGATGCTGAAAATATATAAACTGTGAAGTGGTGAGGAATGATATATTAGCTCTTTGCTTCAATGGCTCAGACTTTAATGAGAATTTTAATTAGCTAGCTCAAGTCATGCAGAAAGCTCTTGTAATTGTAACCAAGGCAGGCTCGTGAATTAAGGTCATTGTTGTATGCAACGGTTAGACCTTGGAAAGGAAGAAAAGGAAGGTGGAACTCTTCTTTTCAGATGCATGAGCTTACTGAGTGATTAATGGGAATCTTCTCCAGAAAGTTCTCTCAGTGACTTGTATGGAAATATGAAAAGCGATCAGAACAGTAGAAGAATGAAATGAAAGACTGGCTGGAACTGTATTAGCAGTGCTTAAGTGGTGGACACGGAGCTGGAGATGAGGACAGAATAACAGAGAGAGAGGAAAGGACTCTGACTTTTTTTTTTTTGACTGTCTAGCAATACTGATTTAAGCGCAACTCTTTGGCAACAGAAGCATGTAGCACACTAGCATTTTAAGAAAATTTGGATGCATGACTGTCATAAACCACTTAAAATCTGGGTAGCAGAGAAAATAAGAGCTTCAAACTGAGAAGATACAGTGTTATTCAGTTATCCTATGTTTCATTCTATCACTGGGATACATTTAATGTATTATCTCAAGAATATTATCCCTCCAGTATATAATTACTAGCCTGAACAGTCACAACTCGGTCATATATTTAGTCTGTGTAGGGCTTGCCTATCAATATGTATCTGTATGTGTATACATGCCATCACATTACATAAAGCTTTAATTTAGATTAACTCAGCCTTAATCTAAGGATTTCGAAACAATTTAAAAGCATCCTACATCTTCATGTTGTTTGAGATGCCATGAAAGCAAACAGCCCATGCATCATTTCTTACTGCTTTATTCTCTGTACACTTTCAGCTCCTAATAACCTTCATGGGGCTCATTACATCTCTTCATTAAGCTGTAGATAGTTTCAAAGTTGACAAACTAAACCAAAGTGAACTCATTACCATAAACAAGAAGTGACAGACCTATAACCTGCTGATGCAGAGGGGTGTCTCTGTGTGTGTCTGTATACAGAAATAAAATTGGCAGAAGTTAAAGGATACATTAGCTCTGTCTTGATTCACTCTGTTTTATACTGGAGATTGATCCACAATCTGATCTGCACTATTAAAATAAGTAGGAACACTATTTGGAATACTATTCTGTGGAAAGAGATGGGCTCTATGGGCTACTACTTTTACATCAGTGTAAATATCCTAACTTGATTTCAGTTACTTTCAAATTTACATGATAAAACCAGCAACTTTAATATAAAATGGTACAGGTACTATCCTACAGTTCCTACAGAATCACCATTAAATCATGGCATAGGGCATGTAAAAAACCCAATTGTGCATCATCACAACTTTAGAACTATGATGATAAGCTGATAATGTAATATAATGCATTGAATCTCAGAATGGTTTGGGTTGGAAAGACTTAGTTTCAACACCTTCCACTACACCAGATTTGCCAAAGCCCCAACCAACCTGGCCTTGAAGACAGCCAGTGATGGGGCATCCACCACTTCTCTGGGGAACCTGTTCCAGTGCCTCACCACCCTCTCCTGGAAGAATTTCTTCCTGACACCTAATTTAATTCTACCCTTCTTCAATTTAAACTTGTTACCCCTTGTCCTGTCACTACCTGCCCACGTAAAAAGTCCCTCTCATCTTCCTTGTAGGCCCCTTCAGGTACCGGAAGGCTGCTATAAGGTTTCCCCAGAGCCTTCTCTTCTCCAGGCTGAACAAGCCCAACTCTCTCAGCCTGTCCTCATAGGGGCGGTGGTCCACCTCTCTATTTGTCTTCATGGCCTCCTCTGGCCTCACTCCCACCAGTCTATATCCTTCATATGTTTGGGGCCCCAGAGCTGGATGCAACACTGCATGTGGGGTCTCACAAGAGCAGAGTAGAGTGGGAGAATCCCCTCCCTCGACCTGCTGGCCACACTTCTGATACAGCCCAGGACACAGTTGGCTTTCTGGGCTGCCAGCGCACACTGCCTGCTCATGTCCAGCTTTTCATCCACCAGTACCCCCAAGTCCTTCTCCTCACGGCTGCTCTCCAAACATTCTTCGCCCAGCCTGTACTTGTGCTTGGGATTGCCCCAACCCAGGTGCAGCACCTTGCACTTGGACTTGCTGAACTTCATGAGGCTGGCACAAGCCCACCTCTCTGACCTGTCCATCTCCCTCTGGATGGTATCTCTTCCCTCCAGCACGTGGATCACACCACAAAGTTTGGTGTCACCAGCAAACTTGCTGAGAGTGCACTCAATCCCAACATCCATGTTGCTGACAAAGATGTCAAACAGCACTGGTCCCAATACCGACCCCTGAGGAATGCCACTTGACGCTTGACTCCACTTGGGCATTGACTGCAAGTCCTTGTGTGCACCCATGCAGCCAATTTCTTATCCACCAAGTGGTCCATCTGTCACATCTATGTCTCTCCAAATTAGAGAAAAGGATGTCATGTGGGACTGTATCAAGTACTTTGCACAAGTCCAGGTAGATGACATCAGTTGCTTTTCCCTTATCCGCTAGTGCCTAAGGATTTTATGTTATTTGCCACGAAAAATGGATAGCATGCATGTCAGGTTAAAAGAATTTTCTCCCTAAATAAATGTCCTAAATGCCAAGAAAAGAAAACACAAGGTCAATATGGGATTTTATTAAAATTAAATTTAAAATGTACTATAGACCTCAATAAAATTTTAAGCTGCAACTGAGAAGTTGAATTTGGGAAGTAAAGATAAAACAGTCATCCCAGACTAAGGTGAAAATATTAATCATGCGTGATGATAAACAGGCAAGATGTTGACTTTTCGCAACTTTGGCAACTGTCCAGTGATTCAGATGATACCAGAAAACCCTAACTAAAAGGTCCAGTATCCTCTTTTATACAATCAGTAACTGAATCTTCTGAAGATGCAATTGCAGAAGACGCCCCCAGAAGCACAAGAATGTTTTAATAAATATATATTTAAAGCTGTAAGATAGCACAGAAAGTTTTAATCACAGAAGCTTAGCCTCTTAGCCCTGTGTTTAACACAATGCCTGTCAATGTGCTGAAGGCACAAAGTTGAGAGCTATGATTAGGTTTAAAATATAATAGTAAAAGAATACATTTCAGCAGAATAAAATAAATGATAACGTGAAAACATAAATGAAAAAAGGGGAAGTATTCTGAATTACAAGGAGTACAATTCTTCTTCTCTTGATTTCGATATCTGCAATGTCTAAATATGTCCTTGACATACTAGTTGTTTCTTTATGGTCAGAGAAGAAAAATAAGCATTTTAAGGTGTGATTTATTTGGGCTATGTTAGACATCTTTAAGATGAAATGAATCGTGCCTTAGATTCCATTAATTTGATCTCTAGTGACTTCTGAGCGTACTGGAGGAGTCCAAGGCAATCCGCTGAGATACATATGTCTACAGTGTAGACAGACTAAAACCAAATTAAACCCACTCAAGGGGACTATGAACTAGCCATTCAGCCCTAATCTAGCACAACAGTGAGAAAGACAAACAAAATAATAAGATATTTTGGGCAGAGACTGTACCAGCAAAGTCAAAGAACACAGTAATAGTGTACAAGACACTAGGGAGAGACCTCAGCTTGAATGGCACATGCAGCTGAAGCAGTGTCCAAGAACGCTGAAATCGGTCTGAAAATGGGCACAGAAGAGGGTTCCCTCACCACACATGGGGGGCTGCTGTTGGAACAGCACTGTATCACTAACAGAAGTTAAGAGAAAGCAGATCTAAAACCAGATACAAATATTCTTCCTTGGAAAGAAGTAACATTCAGTGTGAGGTAATATAGGAAATGTTTCTGTTGCGAGAGCAAGCGTGTAGAATCAATTGGTATAAGCAAATGTTCATAATTTTTTCTTATATTTAAACCTCTCAAATATACTTAAAACCCAAGAAATATATATCAGGGACAATAAATATGTAACAAAGACACAAACTGTGTGTCTTCATAGACTGT